TCACCTCCGAATGCGACCAATTATGTAAGTGTATTTATGTAAGTGCGTGTGTACGTGTATGTTTGGGGGTCTGAAATGGACTAATCTACTTCACAATATTCCTTATGGGAACAAATTCGGTCAGTACTGGCACCTGAACATACTTCTGGAGTGAAAAAATATCGTTAACTGGGGATCCACTGTATTGAGTACTGATTATTTAGTCTAGGGTGAGTAAGTGGTTTTTTTAGAAGAATCTTAAACTGATTTTCAGACTGAGTTACTTTATTATTTACTGGTAATGAATTCCAAATTTTGGGGCCCTTTATGTGCATAGAGTTTTTACACAGTGTGATATGGACATGGGGTACATCAAAAAGAGATCTGTGTCTTATGTTATGGTCATGTGTCCTGTCAAGGTTGATGAGAAGAAGTTTGAGTGGAGGGTTTATGTTTGTGTGTATTTTTGTATGTATGTAGTAGGGCTCTGGTGGCCTGGTGGTTAACGCTCTCGCTTCACACGGTGAGGGCCTGGGTTCGATTCCCAGCCAGAGTAGAAACATTGGACGTGTTTCTTTCCACCTGTTGTCTATGTTCCCCATCAGTAAAATGGGTACCTGGGTGTTAGTCGACTGGTGTGGGTCGCATCCTGGGACACTGACCTAAGGAGGCCTGGTCACAGACCGGGCCGCGGGGGCGTTGACCCCCGGAACTCTCTCCAGATAAACTCCAGATAAACATGAATAAGTATGGATGTTCTTTATGGTGAGCAGATTTAAACTTTTGAATATATATGCTGTCGGGAGTGGGAATTTATCATTCTGATTGCAGCCTTTTGTTGGGTTATTAGTGGTTTTAGGTGATTTAATGTTGTTGATCCCCATGCACAAATTCCGTACGTGAGATAAGGGTAGATGAGTGAATGATACAGCGCAAGGAGAGCTGACTGTGGAACACAGTACCGTATCTTTGATAGTATGCCTACTGTCTTAAGAGATTTTCTTGGAAATTTGTTGTGTATGTGTCTGGAATCTGAGGCTACTGTCAAGGTGGATTCCTAGGAATTTTCCTTCTGTGAGTCTTGCAATGGGTGCTCCATTTAGTGTTATGTTAAGTGGAACATTTGCAGCTCTGGTTTCAAACTGAATGAAATAGGTTTTGTCAGTATTTAGGGTATGTTTATTAGTCATCATCCAGGTAGATATTTTCTACAATTCAGCATTGACAGTGTTGGCAAGTATGACTGGGTTTGGGTGGGAGAAGACGGATGTAGTGTCATCTGCAAATAGTATTGGTTTGAGTAGCTGTGATTCATTTGGTAGGTCATTGATGTAGATGAGAAAGAGGAGTGGTCCAAGGACACTTCCCTGTGGGACTCCTACTGTGATTGGTTGTGTGGAAGAGTTTGCACCATTTGCATACACATATTGACTTCTGTTACTAAAGTATGACTTTAGGTAGTTGAGGGAGTGGCCTCTTATGCAATAGTGTGTTAATTTAGTGTGCAGCAATTCATGGTCGACTGTATTATGTAAATCAATGAAAATTCCCAGTGGGACTTCTTTCTTCTCGAGAGCGGTACATATTAGTTCTAGCATGTGTATAGCATCACTTGTGCTTTTATTATTCCTGAATCGAAACTGACAGGGGTTTAGTATGTTGTTTGAGACGAGGTAGGAATAGATCCGTCTAAGAATTAATTTTTCAAAGATTTTAGAGAGCAGTGGTAAGTTAGATATTGGTCTATAGTTATTCAAGTTGGCTTGATCACCTTTGTGGATCGGGGTGACCCTCGCTATTTTGAGAATTGCTGGGAAGGTGGAGGATTCAATGGATTTGTTAAAGAGTGTTGCAATAATTGGTGACAGTACTTGTGAAGCTTTTTTGTACATAAAAGTTGGCAAGTTGTTTATGTCTCCTGCCTTGTTTTTAAGGGTGTTGATGATGAGTGAGACTTCTTTTGGGGTGGTTGGAGCAAGGAATAGTGCATTCGGGTAGATGCCCGTAAGGTAGTCTGATGGACGGGTGTCTGAGCATGGGATTTTGCTTGCTAGATTCTTTCCTATGGTGGAGAAGAAAACATTGAGTCTGTTTGCTGTTTCAGTTGGTGGGAGTAGGGGTTTGTTTGATTTTGTTAATTTGATTGCTTTGTTTTTGATATCTTTTTAGTTCGTAGAATTTCAGATAGGGCTTTCCAGGTCTTTTTCATATTACCTTTGATGTTATGTAATCTCTTTTCAAAATACAATTTTTTAGACCTTCTTATCAGGCTGGTAAGGGCTGACAAGTAATGTTTAGACTGGTCTCTATTTATTTGACCCATTCTGTACTGTTTTTCATATTGGTGCTTTGTGTTAATGGATTTGAAGATGCTGGGTGTTAGCCAGGGACTATTCAGTCTCTTCGCTGTGAGCTGTTTAGTTTTTTTTAGGGCAATGCTTGTTATAGAGGTAGTGGGTTTTTCTATAAAATTATTAATACATTCATTCGTATCTGTATATGTTTCAAGCTCATTATGCCAGTCGACATTATTCACAGCTGCTATAAAGTTATTTACAGCTGTCTCATTATGTAGTCTGAAGGTAACTTTAGTAATGTCTTGGGGCAATTTACCTAGGTTGGTTATGAGAAAGGTAGGGTAGTGGTCTGACTGATCACATTTTGCTGGTCAGGAGCCCTGTGTATACATGTCTGTACCTCTATTATGCTGTGATTGTTGTTGTTAGTGAAGATGAGGTCCAGCGTATTTTCTAGTCTTGTAGGTTCTAATATTTGCTGGTTTAAGGTAAATTTGGTGCAGAGATTTAATAGTTCGTGTGTGTGTGAATTTTCCTCTGAGCTGCCTCCTGAGCTGATCTCTGCTAAAATATTATTTGCTACACTCTGCCATTTTATATGTCTGAAGTTGAAATCTCCCAGTAGGAAGATGTTTGGGGCAGGAGTTGGGATACTTTCCAGACAGTGGTCAATTTTCGAAGCTGTTCCCAGAGCTTCTGGGAAGTTGCATCTGGAGGCTTGAACACAATCACAATTACAAGGTTTTGGTTTTCAATCTTTACTGACAAAACTTCAACTACATCATTTGAGGTGTTTAGCAGTTCTGAGCAAATGAGCAGCTCTGTGACGTACAAGCCAACCCTTCCCTTGTTGCCTGTTTGGTCTGTCGCATCTGAATAGGTTATAACCTGGGATCCGTATTTTGTTGTCAAAATGATCCTTTATGTGGGTCTCTGTGAAAGCTGCAAACATTGCATTTGACTCCATGAGCAGTCCCTTGATGCAAGGAATTTTGTTGTTTGTTGATGGCTTTAGACCCTGTATGTTTGCAAAGACAAATGCTGTTATATTGATGGAATTTAGGGGGGTTTTATTTGCCGGCTCTAATATCTGTTGTTCTGGAGTGGAGGCCAATGACTGTGCCTCTGCTCTAGAAGTGTTTTCACTTGGTGTACAATGTCTGTCATTTCTTGCCAATCTTTTTTCCTTCCTGGCACTAAAAAACCTCTTTCCCTGGAGAGGTTATGGCTCCCCTCTTTTGTTTCCCATAGTCTGGCTGGTCTGTGTGTTCTTGTCCCTCAAGATGATATGCCTGGCATTTGCTTTCATGGAGTGATGAGCAACACATTTTGGGGTGAAATAAGTTACAGGAAGGGGAGTTGCACCCTCCTGTTGTCATATGGGTGCGACAATTTTTGGGATGGTCAAAGGTGCACGTCCCACTTGTTTTACCCGATATACAAAGCCTGCAGATACCCAAGGCATGCAAGACTGCATGGATCACTAGTCTTACACAAGTAAATGGATCACCAGCCTTACACATGTGCATGGATCACCAGTTTTACACAAGTTCATGGATCACCAGTTTTATGCAAGTACATGGATTATCAGTCTTACACAAGTGCACGGATCATCAGTCTTACACAAGTGCATGGATCACCAGTCTTGCACAAGTGCATGGATCACTAGTCTTACACAAGTGCATGGATCACAAGTGAATAGATCGCCAGTCTTACACAAGTGCATTTATCACCAGTTTTACATGAGTGCATGGATCACCAGTCTTACACAAGTGCATGAATCACCAATCTTACACAAATGCATGGATCATCAGTGTTACACAATCACATGGATCACCAGTCTAACACAAGTGCATGGACCACAAGTCTTACACAACTGCATTTATCCCTAAGTCATTTATCCCTAAGTCACATATCACAAGAAAGGTGGCCCCAAAGCAAGGTGAACTTTTTTCTGGTGCTCATAATTCAACTCTTTCCAATGGTGAAGGAACCTTTCCATCTTAAGCTTCAATGAGATTAGTCAACATTTATGGGTTGTACAATTCAGTTTCATTTTTTTCTATGGAGAGCCATATCTACAGCAGAAGTAATTGTTGAACCAACTCATTCAGCCTAGTAGGTTCACCACTGACAAGTTATCTAAACCCCAACTTTTCAGCCTGGAGGACAGCCCTGTAGAGGTACAGTATTGCCACTACTTCAAGATGGGAAAAGGACTGATGAAATTGAATGATTTATGCACCGTTGCCATCAGAAAGACCCTTTCTATTAAGGTGACAGACCTTCTTTCCATAAAGAAGGAGCAGAGTATCAAGAGAATGCTCAAGCAGAACCCTATTCTCCTTGAAAACTCAAGAAAGGATTGAAAAGACAGAATCAGACCCAGGAGAAAAATAAGCAGAGGTTCTCAGTGATACTGGACAAGCTTTTCAATATAAGATACAATGATTATAAGTATATGATAAAAAATAAGAAGACAGGCTGCTTCTCAAGGAGAAGAAGAGTGCCAAAAGACCCATGATGGCTGCAGACTGGTGCTCTAAAGCCTAGCTGGCATACAGCAGAGTATAACAGAAGACAAGTGTCAAAAGAAAAACAGTATTCCAACAGATTGCTACATCTAAAGTGATTTACTAAATTCAAACAAAGAAATTTGGAAAGAGGTTTCAATTAAATGTTTGTCCTGTTTACTTGCGTAATCTTGTTAAAAAATTTTACTACCTGTGTTATTTGAGCTATTTCATTCGTGAAGTGGCAGCTGAAGAGTAAAAGGTTCCTTGGCTGCACCTTGATGGCAAATCTCATAAACATTGCAGAGTACAAGCAGAGAGCTGTTGAGGCAAGAAGTAAGTATTAAAAGTATGATAACAACTATGTAAGCATACAGTAAACCCTCCATTTAGTGGAATTATTGGGGTAAGTGGGTGGTCAGTAATGGCAATTGTGGTGGATAGAGAAAAGATTGTTTTGCTGAGATTGTCAAAATTAAAAATTCTGTGACCAGAGGACTTTGTCCATTGTTTCTAAATCTATTGACCCAGTGAACTTTGTTCCATATTTCTTAAGTACATTAAATGGGGAGTTTACTGTATTTTAAATCAATGATTTGTCTTCACTGACAGTAAGAAATTTATTTACAGTTGGTTCATATAGAGATAAGAGAGAAAGACAGAGACACTGCATTTCCAGATGTTCTTTTACTATACATGGTATACTTAAGGGTATACAGACAACAAATTTATGAATTACAAGAACAAATAAGCAAACAGTTATTAGTTAAGGTTGGATTATAATTAAAGGTAATAAGAATATATAGTTTTTCACATGTTGGTGGTTGAGAGAATTGTTTAACATATTTAACACATTTTTTAACACTTTTGTCATATTTAATTGTTGTTAGGATATATTAGGGAAAGAAAGTTTTTTTTTTTTATAGTAGTTTTGAAGCTGCTGGCAGATAGAGGGGCTCTGGAGATTTCTGGTAGGGAATTCCAGATTTTGGGTCTTTCTATGCACATTTAGTTTCTACAAAGATTAAACCAAACACAGGTATGTCATAATGATTTTTGTGTTTGGTATCATGCCTATGGGTTCTGTTACAACTATCAAGGAAGCACTTCAGGTCAGGACTGATATTAGAATACACAAATAACTTGTACATAGGAGAAAGAAACTTATGACGATGGTTTGATCCAACTTTCAAATGTCTGAACCTCATTAGAGTTCAGGTATTTCACAAAGAATCATCATCAATAATGTTAGGTAAGAAAAAAAAGTTTTTTATGAGAAAACAAAAAATTGTTACAGCCCTCTTGGAGGTCTTAAAAAATGTAACCTTATTTTTCCCATATGTTTTTCAGTCCATAATTCATAGAAATCACTAGCAGCACAATTTTCAGGTACATAAACCATGCTAATTATGATTGTCCACTGTGCCCAAATAATATTAAGAATCATGGTCACAAACTTTTACCCACAAATACCTCTAAAAGTTTTCCTGGCTCTTTTTTTTTTTTCATGAATGAGACCAGCAGTAGGAATACCTAGTGCTATGTGGCAATGACAAATTCTAACATATAATATCTTGTAAGTAATGTTATTGTTTAATGACAATATTTTACCTCATAACCTTACCTAACACATTATTTACATGCTGTACATATACAGTGGTACCTTGAGTTTCGAACAGCTCCCAACTCAAACAATTATGTAAGTGCGTTTGTAAGTGTATTTTTGGGGGTCTGAAATGGACTATTCTAATTTACATTATTCCTTATGGGAACAAATTCATTCGGTATCAGCACTCGAACAGTCTTCTGGAATGAATTAAGTTTGTAACTCGAGGTACCACTATACTTACAAGAGGATAAGGACAACAGGAATTGGCGAGTGCAATTTTTTACTAATATGCACAGTAAAACCTCGATTTAATAGACCCCAATTCACTCTTTTTCAACTGCACATCATTAAGAAACAATGGGCAAAGTCCATTATATTCAGAATTATCTATTAGTGTTTAAGTCCACTGGGTAAATTTATTTTTCAACTTAACTAAGTTTGTTAAATCTAAAAATTGTCCATTATTGTTACTGTCATGGAAAAATGTTCTTATAATTGATTAAACGGGCAATGGGTTTTAACCCATTCATTGTTACGGCCTTTGCAATTAACCTTTTCAGTGGCTATCATGCAGAATTGTGTCACTGAGGTCGGGGTCCCTCACACAGCTCTACATCATGAGCTCAGCTCACTCAGGTAAGCCTTTAGTGGTAAATTTTGGCCTAGAAATGAGAAAGTGGGTTTGTGCAGTGAATGTGTACAACATAAAAAAAACCTGTCCCACATGTTGCACGATGGGAAAAGCAAAACTCTGACCACGTGTTAGGTTTAAAATTGCAAATTTAACGTGTTTTTGTGGATGGCTTTTATAGTTTTATTGGCTGTTTTGTGGTATCAGTTGATAGAATAGAAGACGTACTAATGAAATAGAGATGGAAGTTGAAATTGGGCTCAAAGTGGAAGAAATATTCAATCTTTACCAATTTTCTTGAGATGGGTAAGGCCCTCTTACACCCCAAGTCTGTTTTATGTATTTTTAAAAAGTCTGATTCAATTATTGGGATTGTAGATGAATGGTTCAAAATCCACAATACTGTCAGACACTGCAACTTCTTGGGATCTTAATACTTGGGAATTCTTCGCTTGGGCACGACCTACTTCCACATTGGACAAATGTGACACCACCTATGACTGCTGCACCTCTCCTGCCATACGGTTTATAAGCTGCTTCTCCGCTCCTATGCCGTATTCTATTCAAGATTGATGGACTGACCACATTGACTCAAGGCTGAGGGACTAATTACCTCATTCTCCTCCTGTTCTTCAAGTTTATCCTTTGTATGGACTGATGAAGCCACTGTGTGGCGAAACGTTTCCTCAATAAAGATACCCAAGAGTTGCACATGTGTCTAATTTAACAATTACTGGGATGCCATAAACAATGACCAATCATTCCTGGTAATATTATATTATTGGGGAAATGAGTAAATCTTCTATTTTTGAATGATTTTGAATTTAAAATAGAAGGTGAAGCCTGAAGCTGTGATAAATGAACATGGGAAATGTTATTTTAGTGCCAGGAATGTCTACATTGTTTATTTTGCTCTTTACTTTTAAAATTTGTGTAAAACTGGCCAAATTACCAACTTTATAGGGTAGTTGTAATAGATGAATTGACAGTCTTGTGCTCAATCAATAGAACAGAAGGCACACTAGCAAAATAACTAGTGGAATTGACTTAAAATAGGACTTAAGGTAGGCAAAATCACCGATACATAAATTGCGCTCAGACTGCTAACTTTGCATCTGTGCAAGTCCTTAAGTTTTCCATCAAATTTTGTACTTTTGGTGACATTCCCTGCAGAAAATGACTTCCTACCATTTCAAAAAAAAAAAAGTAATCTGTTTTTACAAAGTGGACACTGGGAGCAATATTAATGTCAGTGACATGGACAGGAAAAGGGTTATAAGTGCTGACAATGTTGAGATTTAAAAAAAAAAATATTTCCTGAAATGGGAGAGAATCTTTTTCTAAAGATAATGACACCAAACATCTAAAGTTTGATGGAAAATTTATGGAATTATGCAGGTGCAAAGTTGAGAGTCTGGGTGAAAGAACATAACATAAGAAAGAAGGAACAGGCCTACTGGCTCATTCGAGGCAGGTCCAATTCTCCCACCAGCTCAAGCCAATGCCTTAACCTAGTCAGGTCAGACATGTCACTTAACCCTTTGACTGTCGCAAGCCCCTTTCTGAAACTGTCATTCTATGTTGCAAATTTTTTTGAAAAAAAAAAAAAATCTTACGAAATGACAGAGAATCTTTTCCCGATGGTAATGACACCAAAAGTATGAAATTTGGTTGAAAACTCATGGAATTACGCTCCTGCAAAGTTAGCAGTCTCGGCGACATATACGCATTGGCGATTTCACCGACTTTGAGCCCTGTTTTTGACCAGTTACATTGATCCAGTTGACCAAACTCATAGCTATTTCCTTAGAACTCCATTTTTTCTATAAGCTGAGTACAAGAAACTGCCCATTTACCGATATGAACTACCCAACAAAGTGGTCAGAAATTGGCAATTTGGTCAATTTCATGCAAATTAAAAAAGATGCCAATTTCAAAATAGGGTCCAGAATAAACAATGTAGACATTCTTGGAACTAAAATAACATATCCTCTGTTCATTAGTCATGTCTCTAGGCCCCTCTTATATTACTATTGCTTTCTATTTTGATTTTTTATTCATACAAACAATACAAAATTTAGTTATTCAGACTACTGCATTATTGTAAAAATGGTATAAATAATATCAGTGCGCTAGTGAAAGAATATACGACTCCCCAGTTGACATGTATTGGACGTGCGGTGTGATATGCTTACTCTTGAACATTGATAAAAATCGAACATTTCCACTACTTTGAGCTAAATTTCAAGGTCATTTTCATCGAGAAAGTAATCAAAATCATCTTTATTTCTGTAATATGTTTTCCATTTTATCATGCGAGACCATGAAAATGAGAATACAGTGATAAATACTATACAAAAATACACCTCAAAGTCGGCGTTTTAATCCAAAAAAAACGGTCAGTTTTTTTTTCTCATTATGCACTGCGTGCTGCAGGATTTTTTTTATGTGGTGCACACTGACCACACAGACCCGTTCTCTCACATGTAGGCCTACCAGCTTTCTCCTGCTTGATTTGAAGCCGCTAGAATTTACGCGTTTAAGTAAGTCAGAAACCGTGGCGCGTAAAACGTATATATAATGACTGAAACAGTCAAAGGGTTAAAGGAGGAGCACGGCATCTGGCCTAGTAGAACAAGCTAGTCAGGTCCAACTTACACCCACCCACACCCACTCATGTATTTATCCAACCAATTTTTAAAACTACACAACGTCTTAACTTCTATGACGGCACGCGAAAGTTTGTTCCACTCATCCACAACTCTACTGCCAAACCTGTGCTTTCCTATATCCTTCCTGAATCTGAATTTTTGCAATTTAAAACCACTGCTTTGAGTCCTGTCTATGTAACATATTTTTAGCACACTATTTATATCCCCTTTATTAATTCCTGTTTTCCATTTACACACTTCAATCATTATTATTATTTTTATTATCACACTGGCCGATTCCCACCAAGGCAGGGTCGCCAGAAAAAGAAAAACTTTCACCATCATTCACTCCATCACTGTCTTGCCAGAAGGGTGCTTTACACTACAGTTTTTAAACTGCAACATTAACACCCCTCCTTCAGAGTGCAGG